ATTGATGTAAAGAATGTGTGGTTAAAAAGTAAGAAGAATTTTTGGGTTTATGTGTAATATTATTTTATTTGAAAAATGTGTGATTAGAAATGAGTACTGTAGAAAAATGAGAATGAGAATGAGATAAAAAAATGGGTGTCAAACGGAGGCTTAATAAGTAGGATAGCCAACTTAACTTAGAGGTAATATTACTTTATCTTTTTGGTCATGGAATCCAGAACAAAGAGGCTAAGAGCGTTAAGATTATTTGAAAAATATAATCTAATGCTTTTGAATAAATTAATTACTTACTTACTTAGGCCCTGTTTGGGAGGAATTAAATTTTTCTACAGTAAATCAATTCTCATTTTCAACCACACATTCTTCAATAAAATAATATTTTCCATCACATCAATAATTTTTTCTTTTTTTTCAACCACACATTTCCCATCATATCATTATTCAAAATCAATTCTTCCCCCAAAAATCTCTCCCAAACAAGCTCATAATGTGGGTCAAACAGGAGTATATATATATAAAATTGAAAAGTTGCATTAATATGTTCACATTGACACTAAATTTTTGAATACCAATTTTACTCTTATATATTTAGTGATATGCCCAATATACCGTTATTTAATTTTAGTTTTGTTAATAATTAATTAATAACATTAATTCAATTTCTTTTCTATTTGTCAATAATTCTCGAAGTTAGATCTTTTTAATATTACATTAATTTTTATTAACATCATTAATTCAAATTTATATATATAGCCATATGTCCAATATACACTTATTTCATTTTAATTTTGTTAATAATTAATTAATAACATTAATTCAATTAATTCAACGTGAAATTAAAAAAATCATTTTCTTTTCCATCTGTCAATAATTACCTAAAGCATTAAGGTTTTTTTTTTTCCTATCATTGAGTTATTAATTTTACAATAGTGGGTTACATCCATTTCCTATAAAACAATAATTATTTCATAAAAAGAAAAATTATAAAAAAGAAAAAAAATTGAAAGATTGCATTAATATGTTCACCTTGGCACTAAAATTTATCTACAATAATTAAAAGGTTAATTATATTATCGCCACAGTTTTTATTTCTTACACATCATTTTAATTGCACATAAGATTTCTTAATCTTTGCTTATTATGGCACTTGTATCTCTAACAATTTTTCATGTCGTTCTTATTTTCAAACTTTCATTAGCTGATATATTTTGTGTTTGATAACAATTTTATGAACAAAAGTTCGTTGAAAATGATGTAAAACAACTTATTTTACCATCATACTTTTAAAAATAAATAAATAAAAAGTAAAAAAAAAAATCATTTATTTCAAAGCATGAAAACAAACTAATTAGATATAAATCATCATCAAAACGAGACATACTAATTAATGGAAGGTTGAAGATAAGAATTCAAAAAAAAAAAAAAAAGTTAAGGAGATAATTGCTACAATGAACAAAGATTGATGAGTTTAATTGCAATTAAAATGTGGTGACAATATAACCACCCTAATTAAAAATGAAGGATTAAGGAAAAAAATTTGAATACCAATTTTACCCTTATTTTTTAACTTTTTACAACAATACCATTAATTTTGAATGCACCGTATTGGTTAGTAGTTAATAATTATATTTTAACTCCAAAAATTAATTATAATATAACTTCATGTAGTCTCCATTAAGTTAAAAAGGAAAAAAAAACTAAAAATTCTATTCTTTGATTTGAAGTAAGATAATATGTTAATCGAATTAAGGCCCTGTTTGATTGGAGAAATTTTCTAGGAAACTAGGAAAATTTTTTCCGTTTTCCATCTTTTGCGTTGTTTGACAGCCTAAATTTTCTACGGAAAATATTTTCCTACCCCACCCGCCACGTCAGCATTTTCCATATTTTCCATGTAAAATAAAGCCAAACGAATAGAAAATTTAAAATTTTTTCGGGTGATTATACCAATCAAACACACTTGAAATCATTTTCCGTGCAAAACATTTTCTAGACAAATCTTTTCCTTGTAAAACATTTTCTTTCCACCCATTTTTCACCCTTACAATCAAACGCACCCTAAGTTTCAATCACATACAAATCGAAGTTCATTTATATATAATCGTATTCTATGATTATAATAGAATAGTTAGAAATCAAAATTCCATTTGAAATTGTCAATCTTAAATACTCTAATAATTATGAGTTACTTGTCTTAACATATTTGTAACCTCCATTCACACGTCTCCCACAGAAATTAAAAAGAAATATGTAACCATTTCAGATTTATTTAAAATTTAATTTGTTTTTCTTTATTAAATGTTAATGAGGAGAATTTTTTTTTTAGAGTGCAATGACTAGTTTTGTGTTCTATTTACAATAATCTATTTTTATCAATTGTTTTAGGTGTGTTCTATTTGTAAATTTTGAAGAGATTTGGGTCTCCCAATGCAATTTTCCCTTTAAATTTTTATTGTTGCTTTCTTCTTCTTCTTTATTTTTTTGATAGGAGGGCAAATTCGTTATTTTACGTGGATTTAACAATAAAAATGGACGAAATGACTAGTTTGCTATATTTGTGAAATGTTGGGAAATGTCTTATTCTAAACAAAGGTTGAGGTAGATCGATAATAGATTTCAAAAGTTGAGGACAAATAATGTAAATTTCCCTATATATAACTCGGTCTTCTCATATGGATCTTCATTTATTCTTATATCCAACAACTTCAAACCTTCTCTCTCTATCTTCCTCTCTCTGTGAAAAAAAAAATGAGCAGTTTGAGCATGGTGGAGGCAAAGCTGCCGGCGGGGTTTAGGTTCCACCCAAGAGATGATGAACTCATATGTGATTACTTGATGAAATGGGTGTCCACAGGCGGTGGAGGTGGTAGCGCCGCTGCTGGACATGTCCGACCTCCTCTACTGATCGAAGTTGATCTCAACAAGTGCGAACCTTGGGATATTCCTGGTTAGTAATCTATCCACTCTTAATTTGCAATCAACCGTGTATAATTTTATGACATATTTGATATATTGAAGTAAATAATATTGAACGAGATTAACAAACTGGGATGTTTCGTCCTTCAAAAGGATCAAGAACATTAATATTTTGACTATATATATATCCATAAAAATAGGTTATAATATTCTCTGCATGTGTTGCATGGATTAGACAAATGGCAGACATTTTGGAGCCCTCTCATTTTTATTTTCTACAGGATAAATACAATATACTGAAAAATAGAAATTAATATCTTGATGTACACATTTATACCAAAAAAATCTCTTTCTTCATGTATCAACCCTTTTTTTCAAGAAATTGTCATTCTCGGCCGTGTCCAAACCAAAAGATGTCAACAGCCATTTTGTTGAGGTAACAATTCAACTAATCAAATCCCATCAAAGTCATATCATGCACCTAATCTCAATTACACACGTGTACACGGTAATAACTATTTCATGAGATGAATTGAGCAAGACAACAAACAAGAGATTTCACATAATTGTTGGTATTAAACTCAGCTATTATGTGTGACTACGTTGGGTCCAACACTTGTTTGGACTATTTTCCTACAGGTCCATATCACCCTGCTAGCGTCGTTCCCCTATCGATGAATGAATTTCGCCTGATTAGCGTCTAATTATAATTCCATTTTACAGAAAATGCATGTGTTGGAGGCAAGGATTGGTACTTTTACACCCAACGTGACCGGAAATATGCGACTGGATCGCGAACAAATCGAGCCACAATTTCTGGGTATTGGAAGGCCACTGGGAAGGACATGGAAGTACTTCGAAAGGGTACCCTAGTCGGCTTGAGAAAGACTTTGGTATTCTACGAGGGTCGGGCACCCAAAGGAAGAAAGACAGGTTGGATTATGCAAGAATTTCGATCCGAAGGACCCTTTGCTCCTCCTAAATTTAATTCTCCTGATATGGTATGGTATCCATAATCTACCCTCTCTCACTTGTTAATAACTAATTAGGTTAATAATTATAATTACCTAACTCTTAAATAGTTTATGTTTGGCTAATTACATATTATTTTCATAAACTTTCTTTGTCTCTATGATACAGGTAGATTGGGTGTTATGCAAAGTGTTCCACAAAAACAGATCAAAAGTTTGTGCCAAACAAGAATTGGGAAGCAATTATGAATATGATCGTAATCAAAAGACAGAATCTTGGTCTCTTCCACCATTAATTGAACCCAACAATATCACCTATGACCAAGTTGATGAGCAAGTGTCCTGCTTCTCCATTTTTACCCCAAACCAAACAAACCCTAATTTCTCAAACCTCACCCACATGGATCAAGATTTGTCCACTAAAATCATGCCAAATTTTCCACATCAACTTGGAGTGAATATTAATTCAAACCCTTCCTATGACAAAAAGTTGGTGACTGATGTTCTGAAGCACGTTTACACGAGGGACGCGACGAACCCTAACACGAAATTCTCCCCGAGCTTCGGGGAAGGAAGTGCAGAGACTTACTTGTCTGAAGTTGGCTTGCAGCAGCCTCCCATGTGGAATTACTATTGATTAATGGAATTCCGACCCTAGTTTTTGTCTGCAAACTGTTATATATATATATATATATAAATAAGACTAGCTAGGTTAAATATATATTTATATATGATTGGATTTTCTGAGTTTAGCGATGTAAAACTGTATTTAATTGACTTTTGATGCAGAATTTTACTATACTTTTATTGAAAAAGATTGTCCCCTAAAAATTTCAGCAGGGTTTCGCCGGAATCATCTTAAATTCCACAGAAATTGTGTGTAATTGTGCTTAACTTTCAGATAAAAAAAATTAAGTTATACATTATAATAATAGATAATTAAGACTATGAAAAAGGACAGTAATTAACACCACTGTTTTAACATGTTGCAGCAAATTAAAGGCATGATCAAGTTGAAATATTAAACTCAAAAAACTGGATTACACAAACCCTCCATTGACGAATGAAGTTAAGATGGAATGATTGAGACTGGCAAAGTCAATGAAATCACAATTATCTCTTTCTCCACTTGAATTTTCCTTCTAAGGGTATTCACTATCCAGCAGAAGATAGCGATGGTTTCACAACATGCTTCACGAATAATCAACTTGCCATATGGGTTTATTTTACTCTTAAAATTCATTTTTTTTCTAAAACTTATTTATAACCACATTCTTCCAATAAAATAATTTTGCACGCAAACGTATAATTTTTTTCTATATTTTAACCACATATTCTCCGAAAAATTCATTTTTTCTCAAAATCTATTCTCAAAACATCTACCCCAAACATGCTCTGAATATATAGTGCTATTTAATTGATCATTTGAAGGCCATGTTTTATATTACCTGCCAAAATAATTATTGATGAAGATTTGAAATGGGTGCATAGAATTAGGTTGCTGAACAAAATGAAGAATTGGAAAAGTATGCGAGAGGAAATATTTATAACAGAACTAATGTCATGTCCATAGTGAACAATAAACTATCAATGAGGTGACAAGACCTCATCTTACCGCCTCATCGGTGAGCAAGAATCTCCGGCCCACTATGGGCAGGAGGTCTGATATTTATAATGATAAGATATAGAAACTGATTATTAGACTATGAATAAATTTGCAGGTACAAGAAATTTCCACATATTTTTCACAGGAAGACAGCTGTCTGCAAAATCTGTGAAAATTTTCCTATACTTATTTCTCTTAGACTATATGGTTCGAAGTCTTATTTGTTGTTGGGTCATTAAATGTAAAAGAAATGAAATTATTTGACAAGTACTAGGGGCAGAGGGAGGTGGGGGCCAGTGTCCTTACTGGACCCGACTGAAATTTATGATAATCTGTTTTTAAAATAGTATTTACCTTTTTTTTTAAGGCAAAAATGGCTGAGGAATAAAGCCCCCGTTTGGCACCCTTTTTTTTCTCATTCTCATTCTCATTTTTTTCTCTTTCTTCATTTCAACCACACATTCAATCAATAAAATAATATTACACATAAACCTAAAAATTCTTCTTACTTTTTAACCACACATTCTTCCATCAATTTCTCATTCTCATTCTCATTTTTTTTCTCTTTCTTCATTTCAACCACACATTCTATCAATAAAATAATATTACACATAAACCTAAAAATTCTCCTTACTTTTTAACCACACATTCTTCCATCAATCACTATTCAAAAACACATTCTTTCACAAAAATGGGTGTCAAACAGCCCCAAAGTGTGAAGAGGAAAAATGAGTAAAGAGTACAATAATAGGGAAAATTAAACCACTGGTTTTAGGCACAATCTATCTGTTGTAGAAAAAATAATGAGCAAATTGACCGAATCCAAACCCACACCATCAATTCCAAGTGAGGTTCCAACCCAAAACCAATTGGCAATGGGTGGAGTAGCCCACTTGAGTTATATGGTTGATTTCTTTTCTTTTCCCAACTGATGTGAGACTTTTTGTTTGCTCCCAACAATCCTCCCCTCAAACGAAGGACCACATCATTGGCCTCCCCTCAAACGATAATTCATTCGCCAATCATCTTGTACAGCCATTATTACCGTCGCCTTCGACCAAACGGGACTCGCCGCATGACCACCAATTTCAGGAAGACTTTCGACACAAGGCACCTCAAACGCGAATGATTTTTAGCCCGATCGTACCACGCTTTCTACTGCGTTCCTCTGACCCTGAGCTCTGATACCAGTTGTAGGGAAAATAATGAGTAAATTGACTGGGCCCAAGCCCATACCACCAAGCTCAAGTGAGATTCCAACCCAAAACCAATTGGCAATGGGTGGAGTAGCCCACTTGAATTATATGGTGGATTTCTTTTCTTTTCCCAACCGATGTGGAATTTCTTGTTTGCTCCCAACATCTGTGATTATGAAAATCGTTTGTATCTATATTAATAATCTAAATTAAAGGGAATTTGCCATGTTTGATGTGTAGGAAGTTATGAAGAGAGAAAAAAAAACAATTGTGAAATTTTTAATATTATTACGTTTTTGCTCTTTTTTTTTTAATTGAAAAATCGTAGTTAAAACTTTGCCCCACTAGATCGGAGTTTTGGCCCTTCCTTAGACAACAAGTGAATGTGATAACATTGAGGATAAACTAAAGGATCGAGTCGATAAATATATATGTAAAGAAATTATAGTTTACATTACGAATTAATATAAATCATCGTATGAGAGAGAGAGAGAGGGTCAAAAAATATTAGGACTTGATTTATTGTCGTTGTTCAATCAATGATTTCAAGGTATATTAAGTGCGATTTAACAAGAACAAAAAAAAAAAAATTAGAAAATGAAATTAGTTCAAAATAGAAAAATACTACACCGGAATATATCTTAGTAGAGGCTTTCAAAATATTCTCCTTATATATTGTAGTAGTAAGGTCGGATTGCACGGGATATGAGAAGTAAAAAAGGAGTCTCTTATCAACTTATTTCGACTTTCGACATAAGATAATAAACTTACAAGTTTAATTGTACATACTATATGATTTAAACAAGATAATATTTGTATCAAGATAGGATCTTTAATGAANCAAGTGAGATTCCAACCCAAAACCAATTGGCAATGGGTGGAGTAGCCCACTTGAATTATATGGTGGATTTCTTTTCTTTTCCCAACCGATGTGGAATTTCTTGTTTGCTCCCAACATCTGTGATTATGAAAATCGTTTGTATCTATATTAATAATCTAAATTAAAGGGAATTTGCCATGTTTGATGTGTAGGAAGTTATGAAGAGAGAAAAAAAAACAATTGTGAAATTTTTAATATTATTACGTTTTTGCTCTTTTTTTTTTAATTGAAAAATCGTAGTTAAAACTTTGCCCCACTAGATCGGAGTTTTGGCCCTTCCTTAGACAACAAGTGAATGTGATAACATTGAGGATAAACTAAAGGATCGAGTCGATAAATATATATGTAAAGAAATTATAGTTTACATTACGAATTAATATAAATCATCGTATGAGAGAGAGAGAGAGGGTCAAAAAATATTAGGACTTGATTTATTGTCGTTGTTCAATCAATGATTTCAAGGTATATTAAGTGCGATTTAACAAGAACAAAAAAAAAAAAATTAGAAAATGAAATTAGTTCAAAATAGAAAAATACTACACCGGAATATATCTTAGTAGAGGCTTTCAAAATATTCTCCTTATATATTGTAGTAGTAAGGTCGGATTGCACGGGATATGAGAAGTAAAAAAGGAGTCTCTTATCAACTTATTTCGACTTTCGACATAAGATAATAAACTTACAAGTTTAATTGTACATACTATATGATTTAAACAAGATAATATTTGTATCAAGATAGGATCTTTAATGAAAATGGTAGTTTAGAGATAGCATATTTATTTAATTTGTATATAATAATTTAATATCAAAATCAATTATCAACTTGCATATTACACCCCCC